AAATGAAGATAAGACTTCAAAGCAGTTTGTTAACAATGATTGTTTAAAGTGTTCGTTAACAGAAAAAACACACTATTAAAACAAGACCCGTCTTAGTTGGGAACAAGAGGTCTCGCGTGAGTATAGATCCCAATAACAACGCTCGACCACACCATAGCTACCCACCTAATCATTCAAATACACAACACCTTCCCTTAATTCATGATCATAAAAAAATAAATAAAAAAAGATAAAAATGGCTAGTGGAAGTGAACGTGTAGTGGTCGTAGGAGTCGATGATTCATCTCACAGCTACCACGCACTAGAGTCAGCTCTCGATCTCTTCTTCACACCTTTCAAATCAAACCCACAATTCAAACTCGTCGTGGTCCACGCAAGACTCACCGCAACCTCAGTCCTAGGCTTTGCCGGACCAGGAACGGTCGATATAATACCTCTTGTGGAACAAGATTTAGACAAGACTGCGGAGCTGGTCAAGAAGAAGTGTACTGAAGTGTGTTCGGGTAAATCTGTTGAGATAACTTCGTTGGAGGTTATAGAAGGAGATCCTAGGAACATAATGTTGGAAGCAGCGGAGAGACACCATGCATCTGTTCTTGTTCTTGGGAGTCATGGTTATGGAGCTGTCAAGAGGGTGTTTTTGGGAAGCGTGAGTGATTATTTAGCTCATCATGCTCATTGCTCTGTTATGATTGTTAAGAAGCCTAAGACTAAACATGCTTCTCACGATAAACACTAATTATGAGAGGAAACAAGACGTCTCTCTTCTGTTTTAATATGTGCTACGTACCAATTTGTTTCTTGAATATGTGACCCCTTAACTTTGTAGCTTGTATATTCTTCTTCTCCAACGTTTATAGCGTTGATGTATCTCTTCATTGTAGTCAACTAATTAAACTAATTGGTTCTTGTTTGTTTTATTCTCTTTGATTTGCTTCAGTAAGATCAAAGCCCTAATGATGACTTTACCGGTAAAATTTGTGGTTCAACAATGATAATATCCCAACAATTCAAATACAGTTGTTGCTTCTAGATTATGAAATTTCGGGGATCATTTGAAGAGTTACATAAACAAATTTCATTATCGTAGATGGTGAAAACAAAACCATCTTTTATCATGTATAAATGAAACCATCAAACATAATCGTGATTTTTCTTTTACTTTTAAATAAATATATAAATTTAAATTTAAAAACTCATATTTTTTTATATTTCTATATTTAGGGTTTACAATTTCAAAAGAAAAGTTAAAACATAGTATATAAAAAGAGTTATTAGTTTTTTCAACTATAGTATTACTTTTTAAATATATAGTTAATATATTTTAAACTTCGTCTAAAATAATTTGATACAGAGTTGGGTGATGAAAATGATAACAAAACAACAATCCAAAACCTTTTGAATGAACTGAAACAAGGTTACATTACTTGCACGTGCTAGCATGGTCTGATACTTATGGAGTCAGGTACATCTAGTGGATATGAGTCAATGAAGTCGAACCATTTGTTTCCAGTGTCAGGCTCCACTTCTTGAATACATCTCCACACCGCACTGTTACACTTAAACCCACTTCCAAAAGCAATCTGCAACACCCTATCTCCTTTCTTCACTCTCCTTTTTGCTTCCAAGTAAGAGAGTGCATACCAAACAGACGAAGAAGAAGTGTTCCCAAATCTATGAAGAGTCATCTTCGAAGGCTCTATGTCTTCTTTATTCAAGTTCAAGTTCATCTCCATTGCTTGAATCACAGCTCTTCCTCCTGTATGAATACAGAAATGCTCAAACGCTTTCTTGAAGTTCGGTGAAGGCCTCCTCGGCTTATAGATCTTCCAAAGAACGTGTTGTGTCACGTATTGTAATAGCTCTTTGTAAGGTAACACCAAAGGGCCTAGAGAAGTTAGGTTCATCTTCAACACATCTCCAGCTACGTTGATTACATCTTTGGTTATGGACACTCCTTGCTTTAACTCAGAGTCTATGTCTTGGTAGATACATCTGTAAGCTCGATCATCTTTAGCTTTGTTTGTTCTCACAACATGCAAGAGCTCATACTTTGCGTTTACTTTGTGGTTTTCATTGCTAGACATCAAAACAGCAGCTGCTCCCATTCTAAAGAGACAGTTTGTAAGAAGCATAGATCTGTCTTTACCGATATACCAATGTGTGTTCAACGCTTCTGTGCTGAGAATAAGCGCCAAGGAGCCACGGTGAACTTTTAGCAAGTCGTTAGCTAAAGATACCGATAGAATCCCAGCTGAGCAACCCATCCCTGAGAGGCTAAAGCTCTTGATATTGCTTCTCATGTGGAACTTGTTGATCACCATTGCGCTAAGAGAAGGTGTAGGTGCATGTAAACTACAGTTTGTTATCAGTATGTCTATGCTTCTTGGGCTTAGTTTGTTTCTCTTGAGGAGATCGTCAACGGATGTGAAGAGAGTGGTCATGGTTTCGGTTTGGACCGAGGTGAGACTTTTCTTTAAGGGTATTTCGGTTAGGGAGGGAGGGATGCTGGTTTGGTTGCTTAACCAGGACCTCTCAAGAACCCTGGCTTGAAAATCTATACTCTCTTGATCTATCTGGTTGGCTAAGTAGATGGTTTCGAGGAGAGTAGACATTGGGATGCGGTTTGAGTCAGGGGAACGGTAACAAGTGAAGTCAAGTAAGTAGACTTTGACTCTTCTCCTAACTCTTTGGTAGATTAAATGCAAAACTAGCAAACTAATAAAGATCTCAAAGATATAACCACTTGAGCTGAGAAGTGTTGTCAGCTCTGACATGGTCAAAGTGATTGTTGAAGCTTTGTCTATAGTTTGGTTCATTTCGCTTTGTTCTTTCGAGTGTTAGTTTTTTTTTGTCATGGATTATTGATTAGCCCACTGTAGTTGTTTACATTAAGATGTAATAGAAAATGAAATTATCATGTGGATGTTGTTGTAGAGGATTTCACTGCGTTAGGTAATGCTAACATGTTTCATCATTGTTTGTGTGTGTGTTTTTTTTTAACAATTAGTCTCAACACGTCTTCTTGCTTGTCTGATAAGTTAGGTTCTAAATAGGGTTGTTTAGTTGCCTTGAAGGTTGGCAATAACACAATAAGCGGACTTTCCGTGCCTATCAAGTTTCTTATACATTGAACGTGGCCTCATGCAAGTCGTTACATCCATTAGCTTTTATCATCAACGAAAAGGTAAATAAAATGTTCTAAAACACTCAAAAGTTCCCACTACTATAGAGAGCAGAACATCATGCTTTTCAGGCGCTTGATGACACAACAAGTAGGTTACGGCAATTACAGACATTGTAGATTAATTCTTTGGTTAGCTTTGGCAATAACAATGAAAGTGAAAAGACCTAACACATGAGCATGAAGACGTAGAGGTATTAAATGTATGGGTTTGACTTATCATGAACAGTCTTTACACGGATCCAAACATGATTGAATCAATTGGGTGGGCAAAACCATTAATATTTTAAGTTGAATGCATTCATCTTCGCAGTATTAATCATTCTAGAGAGTGTCGACGAGTGGACCGTGATTAGTTCAGACAACGACGTCCACTGTTTGGTTACTCTGTTTTTGTTTGTTACGTATCATATAAATAGTAAATGTTTTTCTCAAAATAAAATCTCTATGTGTTAGTTTCATGCTAGTGTGTGGCGATTCATAGGCCTTAAATCGGTGAAGAAAGTTTAGAACATGCCTAGTAATTTTATTGAGTACTAACTTGATTTAAATAAACATGATCAGCTTTAAAATAATCAGTGTTATATAAATAATTTTGGTCTTGATTAGAACATGTATAAGTCCACATGGAAAAATACAAAAATAAAACAGAGTAAAATGAGGACCTTTTTCCCCTGTCTTTTTGGCTTTGCAGAATCATTCATATCATCATCATATGTAGTTTTCATCTCATGGAGCCCTTATGTCCTCTTCTACGCGTTATATAATAACAAAAATCTTCTGTTCTTTATGTTGTTGATTCACTTAACAATATCAGTGTGAAACAAAGTTTGCACTGTTTTGATTTTTAGAAGAATCAGGTGATCACTATCATCAGTGATGTATGTAACAGTACAACCGTCGTTATTGCCTTTATTGTGTGGGTTACAAGATATAAAAAACAAAACAGAAAAATGAAGTTTTCTTGGGGACCATGGAATCAGAATACATGTGCCTTTTGTTCACTCATGTAACACAAAACTCACACTTAAAAATGCCAGTCAAAGCCCATCAAAACCTCCTCTTTCACTGGCTTTTCTAGTTAGCTTTTTTAAAAATTTAATTAATACTTCTAAAAAACAAATCATAATCACAACGTAAAGCAAGATAGATGGTCCTCCTAAGTAGAGACTATAGACACAACAAGATCAAAATAATAATGTAACCAAGAGAAAAAAGACAAACAAACAGAACAAAGTAACCCAAGTATCCTAGAAGATTGAAAAGTAACATAGAAGGGTAGTGTGACATTACAATGCTTTCCCAGTTATGTTTTTGTTATTAATTTAATTAACACTTCTAAGAAACACATCATAAAGGAAGACAAATAGTACTTTTACGTAGAGATTATATGCACAAAATGAGGATCAAAATGTAATATAACCAAGAGAAAAGGACACATAAACTATAGCCCAAATGTCATAAGTTCCTCTGCCTTTATTAGACAATAATTATTACTAACACAGAAGAGTAGTGTGACATAACACTACTTTTCCAGTCAGTATTATTTTTTACTAATTTACCTAATATTTGTAAGAAACACACCATAATCACAACATAAAACTAGGCTGTAGCTTTATGTTGTGATTATGGTGTGTTTCTTACAAATATTAAGAAAATTATATTTTATCTTTTTTCTCTTGGATACAGAACAAAGACTAAAAATATAATGTAACCAAAGAGAAAAAGACAAACAAACTGAAGAAATTAGTCAAAGTATCCTAAGTTTCTCTCCCTTTATTAGACAGAATATTGATAATTAACATAGAAGAGTATAGTGCAACATTACAATACTACTAGAATATGAAAAAGATCACTCATCAACCAATGTTCAAGAACACCTACAATGATGAAAACATGAAACTAGCTTTAATGTATCTTCTTTCTTGTTTAAGATTAAAAAAAAACACTTATTATAAAGTCTTCCAGTTCAGGTTCACACAGCCAACAATGAAGGAATTGCATCCAAGTTTGGAGTTGTGTTCTTGCTTGTAGAATCTGAAATTGTTCTTCCTCTTTTACCAGAGGAAGAAGAAGAACCAAAAGCTCTCATTGGACTTGCAAATGCCCATCCCCAGCTTCTGTTCCTCCCACCATAAGCCATGTTTTGATGATGATGTTGTTCAGCTGATGATGATGATGAGGATGAAGATGATGATGGAGTCATTATCATAAACCCACTAAAGATCCCACCACATCTCACAATCTGTTCCCTCACACAAACATTACTACTATCACTACTAACTTTACCTTTGTTGTTGTTGTTATTATTACCTTCTCTTTGTGACTCAACTCTTCTCAAAGTACAATCTCCAAACCCATGTGTGATCCTCTCAAAGAACTCCCCAGAGAAGCTTCTGCTTCCACACCCGACAGATCTCGATCTCGACACTCTCCTCTCGCTCTCTCTCACTGTCGTTGCTGTAACCGCATCTTCCTCTACAATCACACTTCCACCTCTGTTCACTCTCTCTGAAGACCCGACCGTTCTTGTCTCTGTTTCCGACAAAGTGTTTTCAGCATGTTTTGTCTGAAAATTTCCGAGTTTCTTGCTGCTATGTTGTTTGTAAGAGTGTATATGCAAAAAAGACCAAAACCCGTTCCTCTTTCTCGGCGTCAAATCGGAACCACCGTACGCCGTCGTGGACTGGCTTCTCTTGTAGACGATATTCGCCATCTTCTTCTTCTTGTTCGCTAGCAAAAACGGAAGCTTGTTCTTGTTGTTAATGTCAGTGACATTATTACTGGCGCCGGCGACGGAGAGGGAGAGATTTGCGGCGGAGACGGTGGAGCTACGAACAGAGTCAGATCTGAAGGAAGGAGAGGAAGTGGAAGGAGGGGAAGAGAGGTGGTTAGGGAGAGGGAAAGAGGAAGTGACGAGTTTTCCGAGCTTTTCTTGGAGACAGAGAGGACAGATCCCACCTGGGTTCTTTGTGAAGGGATGGTTTATGCATTGCATTACATCACTCATGTCTTCTTGATTCTTTGCTTCCACCATTGATGATGATAACAAAATAGTTTCTCTCGTCTGTTAATCTTTTGTGGATTCTTGTGAATGACGTTTCTCTGTTTCTGTGTGTGTGTGTGTGTGAGGGAGAGAGATATTCACGGCATGTAAAATAGCTTTCAGGTTTATTTGTTCTCTTCTTTTGAGAGAGAGAGAGAAAGGGGGCTTGAGAATGAAGAAGTAGGGTTGAGTAGAGACTGGAGAGAAGAGGGGGGGTTTGAGTTCCCAGGTGCACGTGGTATACTCTGACTTCGTCGTGTCCTCTCTCTATCTATCTAGCTAGTCTTTTTTTTTTTCATTTTTTCATTTTCTTTTGTTTGTAATAAAATATTAACTCTTCAAATCTACCAAAAGGTTGGCACGTCTCAACTCTAAAATATCACGTCACATTTAGAATTATATGATCCTTAACCAATTTTAAAATATCTAAAGCCATATCTCTGATGCTTTTTTAAAGCCGTTGGATTGATAAGAGGAGGCTCAACATGCACATCCTTACTCTATTTTTTGTTTTGTCTTTATCATAAGAGTTTAAAGAGATTGGAAAGATGTCACGCCACCTTGAGAGAGAGCACACTAGACACTACCTACAAGCTACGTGTTTTCTAATTTCTTCTGATTGATCATTGATTGACTACATGGTTAATTGTATATTTTAAAATTTTATTTAGAGAAAATGACAATAATAGACCTAATTTTTTTTTTATCACAAATATAAATTTTAACAATTAAAATGATCAAAATAGCACTTAAATATTTTATTAAATATACATTTATATCTTTGGTTTAACTAATTCTAGATTTTTTTGTTTAGAGTTAAGGAGTGAGGTTTTGAATTTAAAAAAATTTTAAAAACTTAAAACCTTCAAAATAAAAAATGATATTTTGGTCATTTTAATTTTTGAGGTCTATTTTAATGATAAAACTTAAAAGAAGATTATTTGAGAAATTGCTATTTTATTTGTGGTTATTTATTTATATACTTTATAGGTTGTATATTGATGAGTGAATTATGGACGTAATAGTAAAATAGAGAAGCTACACGTAATAGTGTAATGTGATGGGGAGACCGAGATGGATTAAAATAATTTTAGCTGTCTTATTACATTAAAGGCTAGTTTGCATGGACAGGCTCGCAAAAGCCTGAACTCACTCGTCCATTCATCACCGTCACTTCATCTGTTTTTTTCTTTGTCGTTATCTTTTTCACTTGTTAGATACTCCTCATGGCACGTACCATCCACCCATATTCTTCATGGCCAGTTTTTATACAAAAATGAAAGTTTTTTTTCCAGAAATACAGAAATAAAGTTTTTGTGTTGAAAATTGTGGATCAACAGTAATACATAAACTCTCCAATTAATCACTATATTTTAAAAAATAAAATAAATATTTTTCAAATATACCATTAAATTTAATCAAAAGTACACTATTATTTTACAATTTTTACTATATTTTTATAAGAGAAGAATCCAAATTTTGAAGCTTTGTGATGTTATAGAATTATGTTATATTTTAATAATACTTTATTTTTTAGTAAAATAGAGTCGTGAAAAAAATAGATTATGCTCTACATAGAATAAATTCATTTATACTTTTTATATAGTGAACAATATAGCATTTTTAGGACACTTTTATTTTAATTCTATTTTACAATAAGAATGGAGTGAGATTCAATAAACGTTATGGTCCGAATTACAGAATTTTAATGAAATTATGAAATTTAAACAAAGTATACGTTATTGGATTAACAATTTTAAAATACTTGTCGAAACTGCTACTAATCTTTTTATAATTTCTATATAATAGTTAAAATATATTTTGTTTAGTCATTCAACTTTATTTATGAATTTGATTTCATAATAGTTAGCGAACTTAAAACATTTTTCTATTATTAAACAACAATATAATTAAACAACACATAAACCAATAACATTCTTCATATTATTTATTTCCGATCCGTCAACAATTTCGAGTGATGGACAACATCCTAAACTTCAGGCCCATATATATTTAGGCCCAAATACTTTTCCCGCGTAAACGCAAATGAAAACCTAAAACTAATCTTCCCTCAGAAGTTTTCGAAAATATCCCCCCGGGAAAATCCAAAAAAAATGACCCTCTCCACCGCCGAAGAACAACCTCTCACCGATAACGACATCATCCGCTTAGCTCAATACCACCACCACAACAACCAAACCTCTCTCTCCCTCCCTCCCTACCTCCTCTCTCCAACCTCCCACGCCCCCCTCCTCTCCCACCTCAAATCCCGCTCCTCCCTCCCTTCCCCATCAAAACCTGTCTCCGATTACGTAACCGCTCTCCTCTCCCTAATCTCCCTCTCCCCAACCACTCCCTCCCTCTCCTCCCTCCTCTCCTCTCTCCTCGTCTCCTACACCAAAATCTTCCCCGAAATCCCCACCGATTCCGATTCCCTCAAAACGATCCGCCTCTTCGGAACTCTCTTACGTCACCTCAACGTTAACGAGATCAAATCCGTCGTCGATTCGATCTTATCGGCGGGACTCTCTGGAGTCGTAACCGTCGATGACGCTCAGTTGTTCGATCTATTGCCTATATGCTTCGATTCATTGCGTAGTAGTAGTAGTAATGAGATTGAGTATGTTAAATCCGCGATTGATCGTGTACTCAACTCCGATTGGGAGAAAGGATTCGTTAGGAAGATTGTGGAATTAGCTAAGGAGTTGTTGACGTTTTTGGATAAAGGGAGGAAGAGTGAGTTGTTAGAGAAAGTTTTTCTAGGTTTCGAGTGTGTAGATTTGCAGGATTTGCCTTCGTTTGTGTATCAGTTGCTCGTTCTCGCTTCGAAAGGGTTTTGCAAGAGGGAAGTGATTGGAGGAGTTGTTTTGTTCTTTGGGGGGAGAGATGAGAGGAGGAGAGTGGCGTCTGTGGTTAGGCAGATTGAAGGGACTGTTCTTCTTCATGTGAATTTCGCGGTGAAGCAGGATCCTTCGTTGGGGCAGGAGGTTGTGGCGTTGGTTAAGTGTGATGATAGGGCGTTTAGTCGTTTTGCGGTTGCGGTTTTGTTTTCGGTTGCTAGGGTTAGGAGGTTTGGTGAGAGTGCGTTGGGGGTGTTGAGAACGGCTTTGCTTGGTGCGTATAACGATTACAGGTTCTCTAAGTAAGTAGTAGTAAAGTTTCTATGTACTTGTTTTGAATTTGAGATTTTGTTTCGTGGAATTGGTTATTTCTCTGCACTCATTTACGTGAGCTCTCCTTTGCTTTATGTTCATGTGACTTTAAGAAAAAAATTTCGTTCAACTTTGGTGAAAACAAGTTCAAAGAACTCACTAAATAACTTTTCATGGGAACTCAGTTAGAATGAAAATTGTATAAGGAATATAATCTCTTACTTACGTGTTAGGCTGTAGGAAACACTTCTGTGACGTTTTCTCATGTAGGATAGATTTTAACAAATTTTTCCGATGATGTACAGAGATTGCAAGTGGCTGCCTGATGAGCTGAAGGAAGAGAGTTTACTGCATGCCAAATTTGTTGAAAAATCTTTGCTAAGAGCGGTATTTCCCTCTCTATGTTTTGCTTTGGAGCTGTTGGTCCTGTGTGTATTATACCAGAAGATTAAGAAATATATGTTCTTATATTTTATTAGGTTAGTGAGTGCAAATATGGGAGGGAGCATGTGTTTCCGAGTGTTATTCAGTTTGGCTTTATGTTACTAGAATCTGTTGAAGAAGGTAGATCCAACGAGTTTGGTGGTTCCTGTGGCGTACTGGGTATTGAGAAGCTTAGCATTCAGATTCTGGGAACCCTATTTGAAGTCCATGATATGACAAGAAACGAGGTGGAGAAACTGTTTGATTACTGATGCCATAATTATTCTTAATGCTTTTTAGCCTGACATTCAAAACTTTTATGCTAGTTCTTTGCATTTGTCACTTCACAAAACTTAGTTAAGCAACATTCATATTTTGCAGATAATTGAGCAGTGCAAGTTTCGCATTCTTTCTTTGAAATGCGCAAAGAGCAAGCCAATATTAAGGTCAGTAACGCTTAATGGATATTGTTGTCAACCTTCTTTACATGTACTGAGTAGGTTGATATTGTAGGCTCTTAGGGTGTCTTGTCCAGAGATACTCACTTATCATGTTGGAATATGTCCATCATCTCAAAGAATTATTGGATTATTTCACTTTCATGGAGGGAAATATCAGCTGTTTTCTTGTTTCTGCTATTATCCCGCTCATCAGATTCAGCCGAGATCTGCAGGTAAAATCTACGTGTTGCACATTCTCTTTTGCTCTACTTTCTTCTGCACATCTGTTGCTACTTGGAGTGTTTCAGCTCGTGAAACTGAAAATAGTCTATTTGTATACATTTTTCTGATCCATGAAATTGGGAGAAATAAACGAGCTTTCGCGCCAAGACCTCGGATTAAATTTTAATTGATGATGCAGGATTATACCATCTTAGTGATTCGGAAGGCTATGTTTAGACGAGAAGATACGGTTCGTGTATCAGCGACAAAGGTGATAACTGAACTTATACTTGCAGAGAAACAAGCTAAGAAAGACAGCTCATTTACTCTCCAAGACTCATCAAGCCAAGCCAGTTCCAGTCAACACACTGAAGTGAGCTGTACTATGAGGGGAAACCTCTTTACTGAACTGAATGGGTTGCTTCAAAGATGTCTTTACCAACAGGTGTCTTTCCCATCCTTGATCATGGAAATTTTCTTTTAAGAATTTGAAGATCGTCTTAGAGCTCTTTCTTTCCTATATCCAGGCAAAGGTGAAAGAAGTAGTTTATGATGGGCTTGTGAAGTTAGTCCTGATTGATCCATCAAGTGGACCACATGTGTTGGAATTTCTTATGCCTCATTTCCTTCGTTTCTTTAGACAGGTAACTGTCAAATGCTACATCCTCTCTCCACACTGATAATAGCTTTTCCGTCTGGCTTGTTAAAACAGGGAAAAGTTGCTATGTTTTGAGCTTTTCTGGTCCTTTTTTTTACAAGAATGAGCTGTTGCCAAAAAGTTAAAACTTTTTATTTATAGACACATTTTCATGCATGCCTTGACAACTTATGATTATACTGGCAGGACATAGATTTTCAGCTTGGAATCACTTCATGCATTAAAGTAGAAGGTGGTAAATTTATTATTGAAGAGCCCTTGGATAGGCTTCTCTTTTGTATCTCTTGGATTTTACTCCTTCAGCCGCACAACAGCTCTGATCGGCCTTCTGATACCGCATGGCCATGTTTTGGTTTCTCACTTACTCAAGAAAATGAGGTAATGTGACAGCAGAACTAGTCTTATGTTACCTAATAGAGCGTAATTTTGAATAATAATGTGTTGATTACATATATATACCTTATGGGAGCAGCAGACAGGAAGAAATGTATCTCATGAAGTGTACTCCAGTACTTTGGTAAAGGTCCGAAGCTTCCTACTAGGCAAAAAATTAGAAGGTACGTGACGAATGATCGTTGTTGAAAAATCATTGACTATTCTTTTCATATTGATCTGCTTAGGCTACCTGACCACCTTGAACTGCTGTTACTTTTGTTTTCGTTCATGTCTGGCTCATATAGATTGCGTTACTTAGACATGGTTTAGGTTCATAAACGAAATAAAAGCTAGAGATAGTGCGTGTCAAAACCTATAGGAGCATCTCCTCTTTAAATTGCTCTGTTTATAACCCTTTATAAAAAAATTGCTCTGTTTATTTGAATTTCACTGTTCTTCTTCATTCAAAAAAAAATTGCTCTGTTTTTTAAGCGCTTGAGCTGCTGATGATCTTGTTTTCATTTTACAGATATTGTTGGGTTGTCTCAGGACACAGTTTCCGCGTCACTAGAAGAAGATAAAAGAAAATCCTATCGTCTGATTATATTGGGGATCGTTCAAGTGCTGCTAAACAATATCATAACGGATCTAGAGAAACAGCCAGAAGAGAAAAAAGGTGAAATCGAAAAGGATATTGTTGATTTGGTTGATCTATATGAATCACTGGAAAAAGAGGCGGGGAAATCGAAACAGGGCAATACTGGCAAGAGAGTACGATTTAGCTCAACTGATGTGGGATTGACAAATATCAATGAAGAGCGACAACAAGTTCCCTTTTTGTCTACTTCAAGTATCTACCAGCTATTTCTAATCGCCTTCAAACTTTATAGCAGCACATCCGCTGGCAATCTTTCAGGTTTGCAGGATCACAGTCAGCCATCATCAGCCAAGACAGAAAATTCAATTTCTAGAGTTTTCTCCTTCACTTTGCATGTTTGTGTTGGACACCTAAGATCATCTCTTTGCATGAAGGAGGAAAATCCACTTAAACCGTTGGTCTATGGTGACATGATAGTTCTGGGCCCTCCACTGCTAAAAGTAGTTTACCTGCTAAAGCCAGGACCACCTTTAGTAACCGGACAGGCGAATAAGGAGAATAAAGGAAAGAAGGATGCTGAAGGAAGAAAACAGTGTCTACATCTGGCCTTGCTTAGCTTGAAAGAGCTGCTCAGTATATATTCAAGTGGATCTGGCTTGACTGGCTTGCTTGAGAATTTGTTAGCAGTGCCTGCATCCGAAGATGCTATTTTAGAAGAGTACAGCGAAGCTTCAAAAATTGAAGATCCAGTTGTGAAGAACATCGAAATTTTCATGGAAAAAGTCATGAAGCCCATGATCACGGACCTTATCGCTCAAAACTCTAACGATGTAGAGGTGAGTTCCTTCAACTTCAAGATAAAAATTCTTTTACCTGCAGGAAGCTAATACTATAATATTCACTTGCGCTGTTCAGATTCTTTGTGACATAATGTTGATGCTTGGGAACAATCTACCTGACAAATTCAAACAACGGCATGGATCATGGGCTCATCAAATCTTCAAAAGCTGTGAAACATCTAGCACCACCGTTGCAAAGAGCGTTTTAAAACTTGCAATCTCTTTTACTTCATCTCCTGGTGATCTATGCATAGCCGTGGAAGTGGCCAACGAGTTGCAAAATGTAATGGGTTTAGACAAACCTGATACACCACAAGTCTCGGAATCATACATGATCATAAACCAGTCAACAAGTGCTTCAATAACTTCTTGCATATTGCAATTAATCGATTCAGCAGTAGGTGACATGGATTGGGGAACAAAGAAGCTAAAGAATATGCATGTGGTCTCTCAGAAGAACATCCATCTTAACCATGATGATGAGAGTTCATTTGGATTGGATCTCGAAGAAGCCCTTTACGCAATGGCTGAGTCAACAGTCATGATACTCTCTTCCTTTGTTTTGATGAACCTCAAAGGTAAGATTCTTGCCCAAACTGCTTCTCACTTTAACTCTAACTAAGCTTGTTAATGAACATGTGCTTTCCATGATCTGCAGACTCGCAAGCAGCACAGTTTCTCAGATTAGCAGTTAAGTTTTACAAACAATTAGCACAGATAGTGAAACAGAGGATTGCTCCTAAAGGTTGCAAGCAAACTCTTCCCAGCCTTAAGTTTCAAAAACTCGTGGAACTAACTTGCAAGAGTCTCACGGTTCCTTTATATCCCTTTTTAGCTGAACTGCAAAAGGTAAAAAGATTGATTGTTTTTTTTTGTTATTGATGTAATGATCTATAATCTTAACGTGAATGCTTCTTCCAAATTTGCAGGAACAACAGGAGAGTGTGAGTTCAAATTCCAAGGGTATAATCAACAAGATCAAACAGGAGAACAAGTGCATCCCTGATTTGATATTCCAGATAGAAGACTATGAAAGATACCTTATCCAGCTAAGTAAAGTTACTAAACTCAATTTGCTGAGGCATGCCAAGCGCAGCACTGCCAGAGACTTCAAGATAATTGAAGATGCAGAAGCTCCTGCAGGTGGTGAAGATGGAGGAAACCAAGAAGAGACAGAGACACAGAACAATAATATTGGTGGTAACGAGGATGGTTTGGGAGAAGAGTCAGAAGATGATCCGGAGCTAGCACCACGGGACTTGGATTCTGATAGAGCCATAGCAGCAGAAGAGAATGATGAAGAAGAAGAAGAAGAAGAAAAAGAACAAGGAGAAGAAGAAGATGAAGAAGAAGAAGGAAGTGACTTAAGTCGTCCTAAAAAGATAGCAAAGAAGAGTTTGGTAGTGGAAGATTCTGATGAAGATTCTGTAACGTTTTAGGTTCGTGTTTGTAAATAAAACTTGCAAACTCAGAGAACGTAGCTTCCAGGTTTCCTGAACAAGTCTTCATGCATGTCGTTTGTTCTCGCAAGCCTTGCTGTTTTATGGCTGCCAGTGTGCACTGATTGTTCATATTTCTTATTTAAAACCGGTTTAAAGTCGTTCCTCCACGACCCGCCTTAAACCGCAAAAAATGAATCTAACGGTTGCTATTACACCAATGGCACATGTTCTCATCTTTCAACCGATTCTCTACAACGCACTGCACCTACTACATGGTCTCGGGCTTTCTTTAAGACTGATTCTTGTACCATTGACAACTCCAACAACTTGTCTGAATCTTTCAACAAAACCATCAGCGAAGCTTGACGAAAACCATTACTAGAAGACAAACTATGGTATGTAATGCTAAACGATGTACTGTTGGAAGTGGATGGAAGGAGAAATTTACAAAAAAAGCACAAGCTGAGATTGAAAAGAGTCGAGCTGATTCAAAAGGTTTAGTTCTATATCAAACCACAGGTGATGAATATGAAGTTGATGATCATGGGACTGGATACCGTGTCGACGTACATTTGAAAACGTGTGGTTATCGAAAGTGGCAGTTGACAGAGATTCTTTGTAATCAATCTATGTGTGTTATAATAGGAAAAAAAACTAACCTTGATAACTATGTATCAGAGTATTTTACTACTCATAAATGGCAACATACATATGCTCCGAGAATGAGAGTTGTACAAGGAATGAAGTTGTGGGTGCCACGTATAAACAGACTCTCTATTATACCATCAGACCCAAGACGGAAGAAAAAAGAATCATAAACGACGTAAAAGAACCTCACGAAAATACATCAAAGAAGGGAAGATGACAGGTCATAGGATAATCACATGCTCACATCGTAAGCAAGAGGGACACAACAAAACGACGTGTCCTAATCCTCCAATATTGGTAGAAAAACGTCCTAGAGGTCGACCAAAAAAGAAGTACAACAGGTTCGTATATTTGATTTAGCTTTTATTTATTTTATTTCTAGATTTGGTTATTTTGGTTTACGTTCTTTTGGTTATCTTTCTTATGGTGTCTACATATAATATTTGTTCTTGTAGGCCGAAGAGATGTTGCAGAGATATGGATAGACTACTTAGAGAAAATTTGATTAAAGACTTTGTTTCTTTTTATTCTTTGAATGGCGATGTTGTTTGGATTTTTTTTTTTTGTCATGACCTTGTTTAGACCATGCTTAGAATATTTTTCTTTTTGAATAATTTTTTTCTTCTTGATACTTCTGATAAGAACAGAGCCATCATCATCGTGACTCCATAAGAAGATCAACCTTAGTTGTGTTGTCTGATCTTCTACAAGTGTTCAGTTTATTCTTTATTCTAAATTAATCTGCAACCTTGTTCAGTAAGCAGAAAACAAAAGAGATCATCTTCAATCTCCTTGGCTACTATTTCATCCAGCAAACTAAATTAGTATCTTTTTCTTAGTTAAGCAACAAAAGTTTAAACTAAACTTATATGTCATGACTCATATCCTATAGCCTAACCTAGAATTAAATTTGTTCATCATATCACCGTTTCTCAAATTTCATTAGTTGGATTCTTTAAAAGAAATATTTAACATGCCTAAATAATAATTAAGTCTTAAATATGCCGAAATTAGAGAGTTTGGGATTTAATAAGCCAAAAACCCTATAAATCCTCTTATTAGGCCAATTAGGAAGCCCATAAATGATTTAACATGTGATGGGTAATTAGGAAGCCCATAAATGATATAAAATGTGATGGCGGGGGGTATTTGGTCATTGCCCACTAAAAAATAAAAATGTATTTACTTTATTTTTTTGTTTGCCTAAAAACGGTTTTAAATCGACACCTCTCTAATATTATCGTCATACTCGCAGCGGCGGTCTGAAGAAAAATTCCATTCAGTTTGATTTCTCTATCCTCGGTTCAGTTTCTTCCATGATAACCGTACTCGGATCGTGTCCCTTATCTGTTTACCCTTTGGGTTGTTATCTTTACCACTGTTTGTGTGTTCCTTCCTTTGTGATTGATTTGAAACGGGTTTCCCTAAAAAAAAAAAAATCGACACCTCTCTTCTCTCTCTCACAGTCACTTTTCTTTCTCCTCTCTTTCTTGTGAACGAACGGTAAAGTCTTCGGCGAGAGAGTGTCCGTACGTAATCTCCGGCGCAACCAGGATCGCCGTATTTACCTTCTGTGTTTGCTTTTTTTTTTTTTTTTTTTTTGGAGAAAATAACGGGAAAATCTAGAAGAAGATCGTAAGATAAGGTTTGAAAATTTGTGGGTTTTGCTTCTTCCCTGAGTTTTTTTTTCGTTTCTTAATGAAAACGGTTGATATTACACCAACGAACGACACGTGTTCTCATCTTTTCAACCGTTCCAACACAGAAGCAGTTGGCGCCTTCTTCCTCAACACGTCACCGTTTTCTCTCAACAACAATGGCGATCAAACTCATTTCACTCTTCACTCTCTTCTTACTCACTCCATCCTTAAGCCTAGATGATGAATCCTTCCTCCCGAAGTTTTCATTCAGTTGGTCGGACGACAAGAATAAGTTTAAATCCGGGGAACTCGCTTTAATCTCTATCAAAGTTCTTGGAAACTTCGAAACCAATGGGAACGCTTCGTTAGGACAGGGAGCGTTTAAGCCTACACTTACCGTCAACAGCAAAACTGGGAACAGTACGTACATTACTGGCGTTTCGCTGGATCTTGGTGACGATGTTAGCACGTTGAAGATTTCTTTTATTCCCATCATGGTTGGAGTTTTCAACATCATTATAGACGATGAAACTTTCAAAGTCCTGGATTCTTCGTTACATTTTGAAGTCGAACCAGGTTTTTCGGTTTCTTTGAATTAATTAGTGCGGGCAAAATACCTAGATATTAATTAATTAATTAATTTGTACTTCTTTTTTTTACTGGTTTGTGAAGGGTTAATGCACCCATCTGTAAGTGTTGTGTCATGGATGGGACTTAACAACGTGTTTGAAGCTGGGATGAATGCATCCATCTTGATTCTTCCAATGGATGCATTTGGAAATAACATTTCCTTTTCCGGAAAGGAGATGGAGATGGAGCTGCAAGGGTTTTCCTTGTCTCTTCTCTATGAAAACGGTTCATTTGCTACCATTTTTAATACAACAGACATCAGATGGATGGAGTCTGGTTATATTTCTATTGAGTTTGTTCTTGTCACCGCTGGAAAATTCTTATTGCTTGTGGAGCAAGAAAGCCAAAGACTGAATGGTGTTCCTCTATCTCTAGTGGTTAATTCAGGTGTGTGTGATTGGATCTTGCTCTATAAACAATTTAGTAAAAAAAAAAAATAATTGCTGGTTGATATATTAATTCTTAAGTCAATGTTTCACTCTGCTGTGTCCAGGACCGGCTCTGAATAGCTGATCAATCTTCTAACATGTTTGTTGGTTTAAAGCAGGGTCTCTAGATGTTTCAAATTGTGTGAGCATATGGAAGTCAGAGCTAAACACATGGCAGATATTTTCCAAAATGGAGATCATTTTACACCAGAGAGACCAGTTCGGAAACCTAGTTTCCGGATCTTACGAGTTTGATGCTGATGTGGTTGGGAAAGAGAGTGGTTTGTCCATACCAGTAGCAGATTTCCAGTTTATGTATGTAGAGCCAGAGATTCAGTTGATGTCTTTCACCTTGTCTGAGCCAGGAAACTTCTTGCTCACTCTTTCTGATATGGAGCACAATAAGAGCATCTCTAGTATGCCTTATGAGTATACAGTCTATATAGGTCAGTGTTTTCCTTGGAATCAAGTCTGGTGAGTGTTTCTCTCCTCTCATTTCTTTTTCTTGACAGGTTATTGTGATGGGTCAAGAAGTATTGTGAATGGTTCAGGGCTCAATGCTTCTATTGCTGGAGAGTCTCTTGACTTCTCTATTTACCTTAAAGATGCTTATGGTTATCCCTCATCAGTCCAAGTGAATATACTTCAGGTTAAAATTATACAAGAGGCTGATTCCTCTTATGTTTTGCCAACCATAAAGCCAAGAGAGACTCTCAATGGTACCAAAGTTTCCTTCTTACCGGCTTCTAGCAGCTTACTTACTCAGGCGAGTATCTTTGATGTAACTTATACTCCAAAACAGAGTGGAGTTTATAAAATCTTTATATCCTCTGGAAACATTGTTCTCAATGGAGGCCAACCTTTCATCAAGGAAGTAAAAGCAGGTATGATCAGGCTCCAATACCGTGATTTTCACAAATATATACTTCTTGGTTTGTGATCAGTACAGTCTTGTTTTCTCTTAGGTGAAGTGAATGTGGCAACATGTAGTGTGACACAATTCAATGCAAAAGTGCGAAAGGAAATAAAAAATGATATTGTGGTCTTACTAGTGGACGGCTTCAACAATCCTGTACCTTCACAGCCATCTCGGTTAAAGCTTGAGATTACCTCAGCTAACACATCAAGTTTCACTACATGGAAGTTTGTTGATAACACTGATGGGACATATACTGGTAGCTATCTGGTCATGGATGTTGGTACTTACCAAATGTGTGTATCCTTTGACGATAAACATATCCAACCTTGCCCCTTTGACGTCAATGTATACAGCAGTAAGTACTTTTACTTTTATTTCTTTCACCAAATATGTCTTTGAGATTTCTCCCTTGACTTCTTAGGTGGATACTTTCCAAAGGCCTATGATGATGAAGTTAACGTGTGGGAAGATGAGTCCATCTCTTTCTATCCTCTGGAAAACGACTACTTTGCTGGGGACAAAGCTTACATTGTTGGTTTTTCACAAGTGAGCATCTCTTCTATGTTTTGCAGATAGTGACAATCTCTGTCTTTGAATTAAATTTGTTGTGTTCCTGATGTTATTAGCCAGGTCATGGTTCTCTTCTGAGAGATGGAAGCCTTCTTAGATACACACCAATCAGGGACTTCTCCGGAAACGACTCTTTTCCTTACACAATAGTTGATATCAATGGAAACTTAGGGATAGCTACAGTATACATCCTTGTTCTTACTGCTCCTCCTCAGTTTGTTTCCTTTTCTGGAGGATTACAAGCAACTGAAGATCTAATTAGTCCTAGATCAGGGTAAGTACTCTTCATTTTCTTTGTCTTTAATCCCCACTTTTCAGCTATAGTAATCTTATTCTTGAAGGTTATTTTTATTACAGTGGCTTCTCTGGTCTGGAGATAAGCTACTCAGACAAGCTGGAGAACATTTCAGTTACAGTACAAGCACTTTCAGGATTGGTCTTGCTGTCTCCAATGCTGATGCAGTTTAGGCCTCCTGGTAGTGGAAGACTCTCAGTTAAAAACGGTGGTGATGATGGAAGGCTTTTGATCTTAGAAGGACAAATAGGAGTTATCAATCCTGCACTTAAGTCAATTCAATATCTAGGGTATATATATGGAATCACAGATAGTCTTTCTTGCGTCACAAGAAAGTTTCAAACTTACTCTTTGTTTGTTTTCTTTTGGCCGCAGGAACGAGAACTTTGCTGGTGTTGATTCTCTTCGGCTAACTACAAGGAACAAGAATGGGATTAATCAACTGGATGTTCCTGTCTTCGTTGAACCAGTCAATACTCCACCGTTTATTAATGTTCCTAACTATATAATGCTAGAGAGTAATGGGACAGAGTCACTTATCTTTCACAAGGAAAGAGACAAGTTCAACTTCTCAGTTGGAGATCCAGATCTTGCTAGTTTCCCTGGTAATGTTAACAACAATTACTTCACTCTTGCTCACATTTTAACAACAATCTTAAATAGCACTAAATTATTATTATTTTGCTCAAAAAAATAGCACACAAAAGGGGAGAATTCTCAGAATGGCTTAGGGTTTAGAGTAAAAATGTAAAAAATAAATATATTTGACTTTACCTTTTAGCGATTAGAGTCTAAAGTTTAGTGTTTATACGGGTAAGATAATTAAGATTTAAGATTTAGGATATAAGATAATTTAGTGTTTTTATTGATTAAAAAATGCTATTTGAATGTTATTTTTGTGACAAAAACTAAAAAAAAATACTATTTAGTATATTTGCCCATATTTTTTTGACTGGTGAAATATATATCAGGTGGTGAAGCTCATTTCTTAATAACGTTTTCTGTGGAGGTTACTGATGGGTTTCTACGGACAAACTTACCATCTGAGCTTATAAACTCAACAGAGCTAAAGTTCAAAAACATATTCAGGTGGCAGCCAATTCAGACATACGCTGCCATTTCTAAACACGTGAATGTTAAAGCTAGTGGGATCAGGTTTCGTGGAACAATAAAGCAATGCAACGACATGATGCAACATCTGCTTCATCACGTAAAACTCAATCATCTATCTTTTACTTTGAATGTTTGTTTTGTTTCTTGATAACTTTGTTACAAAATATCGTGTAGGGAGGAGAGAACGGTGCTATCTTGACCTTGAAAATGAGTGACATGGGGAATTACGGGTGCTTTCTTGATTGCACTGAGAGAATTTCACTGCCTTTACACGCGGTGGCTCGCGTAAACCTCATTAGAAAGAGACCCTTAAGTTCCCTTGCAGCTCACGGTACGTGTATGAAAAGACTTGTGGTTTGGTTTACTTGGTTTAAAATACCTTTTTGTCACTTGATGGCAGTTCTAGGATCTGTGATAGTGGTGGAGTCTCTTGTGGTATTCTCTCTTGCTAGTATACTTCTATTCTTCACTTGCAAATGCGCATTTCTTCTCGTACACGAGAGAAGAAGCCAACATAGTACTGTTCACATGAATCCTCAGAAACCACCAGTGGTATATTAATGACTCATCTTTTTTGTGTGTTTCTTACAGACATTTGTGTCCAAACATAAACAAGATATGTCTCTCTTCTGGTTCAGGACAATGCTGAATTGTTAAATGAAAATGTTTCAGCAAGAAGAATCACTCGTTGTTTCCCGGAGAGTATGTGGAATAGACAAGTTGGCGAAACTTCAGCTAAGCAGAAGAAGGAGTTGCCAGAGATTAACATTGTTCCGTTCGAGCTAGAGAAAGGCTAGAAGTTGGATGAATCAGAGCCATCATGATCACGTACACTCAAGTAATTAGGATAAAGAATCTCATGAAAGGTGCAAAAGTATATTCATCATGGCTCTGTCATCATGGCTTTTAAGTATATTCTAACATCTCATTATTTTGTAAGCAGTTCTCATCACAAAACCAAACATTGCTTTTTTCATGCTTTTGTTGTTATACGCTTCTTTCTTATTTGATATTAGAATTGTCATCATAGCTATGTAAAAGAAAAAAAATACATATTGAATCAACTATCAACACTGCCAGTTTTATTGATTTGTATGTTTTTTCCTTTTCTTTCTAATCTAATAGTAAACCAAGTTTCGAAAAGGAAAAAAAAACTCCCATTAATAAATTAATAATATCTGCATTTGTATATATGATTTGAGCAGTGGAGAACGAATAACTGGTAAGGTGGCTATGTAAACAGCTTGGTACCAAAGAATAATCCACATAATTCTAGCAATCCTGATATCGAAAATCAAGTAGATTGTGTTCAAACATCTGAAATACATGGGCGTAAAACGCTAATTAGCATACCTGGGGTCTTTTTCTAAACTAACTAGAAGTTTAGGGGTTTTCCTTAATTAATAAAAACATTTTATTCTTTTTTGGTTTGGAAACCCACCAAGCCGAAGTAGAAAGGCGTTGAAACTTTCAAATTTAAAGGCGCTTTAAAGGATCCGTATCCGATAACCCGTATTCGGATCCGTTTTTAAACGCTCCTTTAGATGAATGGACGGTGATTAATATATATAGACGTTACAAATCTCCTCTCATCCAACGGCTCTTATTCATCGAAAATTCAAATTTCACCTACTCACTCGTCTCTCTCTCTCGCTCTCTATTCGATTGGATTCTTGAGCGGATCCGCCATGGAAGGTACTATTCTCGATCTCTTGATTGATCTTTCGATACGTATTGTTGATTCGAAACGAAACGATTTCGCTGATTTTTTTTTTTTTTTTGCTGTTATTGTCGGATCAAAATCTAGAAAATCGCAGCGATGGTGAATCGAAGGAATATTCTGCTGAAGATCACGATCTCGACGGTGGTAAGGTTTTTTTTCTCGTCGCGGATTTTGAATTTTTAGTGCAGAAAATCGGAAGCGAATCTGAGTTTTTATTCGATTGATTGATCATTTCGTTGATTGATTGTAGATAATCTCATTCCATTATTTTCCATGATATTTTAGTTGTTTTCGTCGTGATGGAGGCTAATAAGGTTTTTAGAAGGTTAGAATTAGGGTTTAGGGTTCATGACTTATTTGATGAATCTGAAACTTCAGTGAGAAAAGTAGAATGAAATTGATTTTATTGTGTATTGTCTACTTACTGATTTGGCTGAAAACAGTGGGAGAGAGTGAGGACTCTGTTACAAGTGGGAGCCAACAAGTTTCTCCTAACGGTGGACCAACACTTCCTATTCTCCAGAAAATTATTGATTTGAGTAGCAAAATCAAGGTGACTCCCTTTCTTTAACAAGTTCCTTCTGAGTTGCAAATATAATTTGGAGATTGTTTTATAGGTCTTGAAGGATGAGCATGCGTTGGTATCAAACCAAGTGAAAGAAATGAATATTTGTTCCTTTGTAGAACCGGAAATGTCACAGGCTCTTCAGCTTCTGAGTCAGTACACCTTTGTTTTAACTTTGTTCAAGGCTTGTTTTGCTATTTGTAATTGATGTGTGTGTTGAATGGCAGCTACTGAGCTTGGAACTCTGAAAAAGCAGTACTTGGAAGAGTCATCAGAGAGGAAGCGGTTATACAATGAAAATATTGAACTCAAGGGGAATATCAGGGTCTTTTGCAGATGCAGGCCTCTAAACCAAGCTGATCTAGCAAATGGATGTGCTTCTGTGGTTGAGTTTGATGGGTCCCATGAAAACGAGCTTCAGCTACTTTCAACCGATTCTTCCAAGAAGCATTTTAAGTTTGACCATGTATTCAAGCCTGAGGATGGCCAAGGTAAAATTGAGGTGTTACCTTTGACATTTGAAAACTACGTCATTGAGTCTTCTTACTTGACTGTTCCCTTTATGTGCAGAGACTGTTTTTGGACAGACAAAACCTATAGTTACTTCTGTGCTGGATGGTTACAATGTCTGCATATTTGCCTATGGCCAAACTGGAACCGGGAAGACATTTACTATGGAGGGGACACCAGAGAATAGAGGAGTGAACTACAGGACATTAGAAGAACTGTTTCGCTCTTCAGAAAATAGAAGTCGTCTCATGAAATTTGAGCTGTCTGTTAGCATGTTGGAGGTCTACAATGAGAAGATAAGGGACCTCTTAGTTGATAAGTCAAGCCAACCTCCTAAAAAGTAAGTCCTTCACTCTCTTGCTTTGCAATAGAATCAAAACGCCTTACTGTATCGCTCTCTGTTTGTGTTGAACTATTGAAGGTTGGAAGTTAAACAATCAGCAGAAGGAACTCAAGAAGTCCCTGGATTAGTCGAAGCCCAAGTTTTCAACACAGACGAAGTGTGGGATCTGCTCAAGAGAGGTTATTGTGTTAGATCAGTGGGATCAACAGCTGCAAACGAGCAAAGCAGCCGCTCTCATTGGTAATGCAAAAGGGTCTGGTGAAAAAAGTAATGTGAAACGAAACCTTACTCATACAACCAACGTTTTCTTTTTTTCTTGTGCAGCTTGTTGCGAGTGACGGTGAAGGGAGAGAATTTGATCAATGGCCAGAGAACCAGAAGCCATCTCTGGCTGGTGGACTTGGCTGGAAGTGAGCGAGTAGGTAAGGTAGAAGTTGAAGGAGAAAGGCTGAAAGAATCTCAATTCATCAATAAGTCGCTTTCAGCACTCGGTGATGTTATCTCCGCCCTTGCATCCAAAACAAGCCACATCCCTTACAGGTTTCCCCGCTTCTTCCCCTCACTCAAGCCATTTTCATTTGAATGTTTGTGGTTTGTTTTATTGAAAAACTTTTCTCTCCTTTTTGTGCGCAGAAACTCAAAGCTCACTCATATGCTACAAAACTCTTTGGGTAAGTAAAATGTGTCCTATACTTTCGTTGTTTACATGAGCCATAGGAAAAAATGTTTTTTACATCTCCATGGTGTGTTTATCTCATTGTGACTTATACAGGTGGAGATTGCAAGACTTTGATGTTTGTTCAGATTAGTCCGAGCTCTGCTGATCAAGGAGAGACGCTTTGCTCCTTAAACTTTGCAAGCAGAGTTCGTGGAATCGAAAGTGGACCTGCCCGGAAACAGGCGGATATGTCTGAACTCCTCAAGCTTAAACAAATGGTAACATGACTCCTCTCAACTCTTATTCATCTAAGCTTTACACATTGTTATGGTTCTTATTCTCAAACTCTCTGAATCAATGAACAACTAGAATAGAAATAGATTACTTTACTGAAAGTAAACGATAACCAAGAAAGAACCTTCCTTGAGAGGCACTCTCTCTCAAGAACCCATAGAGAGACACTCTCTCACCATGCTTACAATGATCATCCAAATGATTTTGTCCTCTACGCTCTCCAAGTTTACTTCTCCACAGGGCTTGGCTTGGTTGAGTGGGCCTTTCTACGAGTATACTGGCCTCATACGTATCACACATATCTAAAGCTGAATCTCTTTTGTTGTCTCCTTTATAAACAGACAGAGAAGCTGAAACAGGAGGAAAAGGAAACGAAGAAGCTGCAGGACAATGTGCAGTCACTACAGCTACGCCTCACTGCTAGAGAACATATATGCAAAGGACTTCAAGATAAGGTTAGTCCGCTTTAACTAGTAGGTTTGATGTATTCACTGTTCTATATTCTTCTAAGTTGTAAATCATGTTTTAGGTTCGTGATCTGGAATTTCAACTAGGAGAGGAAAGGAAGACCAGAATCAAGCAGGAGACACGTGCTCTAGCGACTGCATCATCATCTAGACAACTACCGACAATCACAGAGAAAAAGCCACCTTTGGCTCCCACAAAATCAACGCGAATGCCACTCAGAAGAATCACAAACTTCATGCCGCAACAACCATCACAGATTCCTACAAAGAGATTCTCAGACGCAACAAGCAAAGAGAATGATAATAATAATAATAATAACAACAGCTTCAGAAGAAGATCATCATCCGTGGATATCAACACACTAATGAAACCAAGAAGAAGCTCCATCGCATTCAGACCAGCTCCTCCTCCACCATCAGGTAATAACAGTAAAACACTTCAGCCGAGAAGGAGAGTCTCTATTGCAACGTTGAGACCAGAACCATCATCTTCATACGTGAACATTACCACTCCATCACGTCCAGCGTTCCGTGGCGGTGGTGGTGACCCGAGAAGGGGGAGATACTCTAAGCTCTTCTCTCCAGACCACAGTTTTGCAACTCCTAATGCAATGAAAGGTAGCAGATTCAAGAAGAGCCCTCTTGGAGGAGGAGGGAGTACGTGGAAGCCGAGCCATCCTACGGTGGTTGCGTTGCAGAAGAAGGCTGTGGTGTGGAGTCCGCTTAAGTTCAAGAACAGACGACCATCTTTCATAGCGATGCGAGTTTCTTCTTCTTCTTCTTCTGCCACCGATTTGGTTAGGAGGGAGCAGTAGTGATCCTTTTTTATTCACTGTCTTTGTGAAAGTGTTTGTTTACATTCTGGTTGTCTGTTAAAATAGGGTTTCTGTTGTTTTTGTTATTAATCTTCATTCGATTTGTTAACTATATATCTCTATTGAGAAACCTTGTGTTATGGTTTTTATATACGGGAGAATTTAAACCTCGGCTCAAATGCATAAGAAGAAACAATAAAACAGAGTGCCTAGTGTCAGAAACAAGTAATGACTCATAATGATTGTGTTTGTGTTCTTCTTCCCTGAAAACCAAACAGTTTTCTAACTTCCCTTGTCAGATTGATGATATTTTTTAGCAAGTCAACATCATTGTTTCCTCAATTGATGGTCGTTTGCTGATGAAATGTTGAATTTAGCCTAGCAATCTTCTAAAGATTCGAGTTTTGCGCCTAAAGCAACGGCATCAGTGACCAAACTTGGTAAGCTTTCAACTGCAATACAGCTTAAGAGGTCGTTCTCACCATCAAGAGCCAGAGTAAGTATGGAGAACAGAGCAAACAAAAACATGATCCCAACACCAAGGAAACAGACGTTCTTTTGTTTATTGATGAAACTCAACACAAATGTCTATTATGACTATATGTTCGCTTCTTTTCTTT